TATTATATAAAAATTGAAAAAAATTACTATGGGTACTCATTAAATTAAATCTGCATTCCAAGGCATTAATTGCTTGGTCAATTGTAAAAAAATTAAACTGTACCTTGAATTTTAATTTAGGTTTTTCCCCGTATTATCTCGTGCTTCGTAATCAAAATTAACATTTTTGCGGCGAACTCTGTGACGTGGCTGCGTGACCTCAAAATTAGGAGGGATATCAATCTCGTCGGCCAATTCTTTTGCATCACAGAGCATTTCAGTAAAAGCCTCATCCGATCGAAGATAATTAAAAATAATCTGTACAATTTCTTAAGAGTTCCATAGCGGATGGTAGATCGTAATCATTTGTATTGAGTAAACTTCCAGCTTGTTTTTTAATATGGGCTTGTTTTTCGAGTCGCTTTCTTTTGTATTGCGTACCAGATAGTTTTTTACGTCCTCTCTCAAACATTCTAATATTTTTTAAAAAATATACTTAAATTAAGTAAGGGAAGTATGAATTCATCAAACATTGACCCATTTTAATTAAAAATCAATGTGTTTGAGATTTTCTAAAATCTTATCGTAAATTTAAAACAAAGAATAAAAAGCCCTTATTTTACTTTCGTTTGAACACTGTATTTATTTATGTTTAATATGTTTAGAATTGGTAACTATATAGAGAATAGGATATCCTAATAAAGTATATTTTTCAGTATCAGTATAGGATATATATATTCAGTATAGGATATCATTTTAACTTATATATTTTCAACAAGCCCACGTATACATCTGTGCATAGCACGCACAAAATATAGAATGAATTTACATAATTTTTAATCTAAGAAAAATGTTCTACTTATAAAACTTTCACTAGTTTTCTTTTAACTCAGTATATATAGTCCTTTCAGTTATATAAAAGTTACTCATTTATATGAATTTATTTATAACACACTAATATATAAAGCTTTTATATCATAAATTGTGTAACTACTTTATAAGTTGATAGCAAAAAAGTTTATAAGAAAAGTTTATTTTATTCTTTTTAGAGCATTTAAATAAAAGCTTGTTTTTAAAAAAGTTTTTTTACTTTTATTTTTTTCTTTTTAGCTAACGCTCGACAGAGGTTTCTCAGTCTGTTAATCTCATTCGACGCATTATTGTTGCAAGATCGTTTGCTGGTCAGTCCAGCTAAGGGGTACTCAACCTTTTTCCCTCCAAGCCACATAAATATGATAGATATTTCATTCGGGCCGCAAACAAGAGGATAATAGAAAGGGGGGATAAACACTGTTAGACCAAACAACATTGGACAAAGCAAAATTAATTAAAATATTAAAACTCATTTTTTTTCTTTTTACTTTTACTATAATACTATATTAAAAACGAAAAACACAATTTTTTTTAAATCCGTAATTTAAACCAAATTTTTTCAATTTTTGTGCAGAATTTGGATAATACTATTCTACAAACGAAAAAATATTTTCGTGCGATTATAATTAAAAATTTAAGTATTTTTTGAAAAACGTAAAAAAGTTTTAGTCATTTTATTTTTTAAATGACTGATTCTAAAAGAGAAAAGCCTGAACTTTCTTGGTGCTGTGACGAAGCATATCTCTTTCCCTATTTTCCAACAGATCCCTTGCCGACAGAAGCTGCGAAAATTCCGGGAGTTTCCCTAATTGCTGGGAAGGAATTTCGTAGCTGGGTGGTCGAGTTTCGGCACCTTTTTTGCCCAGCTGACCGGACTGTCAAAAAGAGGCGCCTTATCAGTGTGTGTTCATTTTCCCAAAACTCGGTGACGCCGTCGCGGCTGAGAACATACAAACGTACACCCAGCCTTGACGCCTCTTTGGGACTAGTGGAAACGAGACCGAATTTGGCTCGGCAGAGATGTATGACATCAAGGGAGCCGAGACCGGAAGGCGGCAGCAGACCCAGAGGGACTGAGGCCGACAAAGAGATGAGCGGTGGATGACTAGGAGAAAGAGATGATATAAAGGGCGAGAGAGTCCGGACGAAAGAAGAAAGACTGGATCTTTGAAGGGAGCGGTTCGGACGTCCCTTGAGCGATAGGAAGAGCGATAACGAGCCCGCGAAGTACAGCGGTCTCCTGGCTTGAAAGATCGAGGGAACGGGAGAGAGTACGGGAGAGACTCGAAATTGATATTGAACTGTAATAGAATATACCATTTTATTTATCTTTCTTTTGATGATTTTCATATGGAAATAAATAGTTAACCAAGAGCTGAGTGAAGTCATTACAGTGCAGAGTATCGATTCAATAACACGAAAAAAAAAATTCATACGGAATGATTTAAAAATCATTTTTATGAAAGCGCATCGATTTTGAATCATTTTAGAAAAAATTGTGAAAAATAGAAAATATCATTATTTCTTAAAAAGAATTATACCGTATCGTGGTGAAATAAATGATCTTTCCGATTAGGTAATTATTTTTTGTCTCAGTTTGATAGAAAGAATAAGATGGTTTTTGAAAAAAGGTCGAAAAGTCGGAACTTCTTTAAGCTCAATCCGGTAAGCTGCTCGGCAGAATAAAGAGCTAACAGGGGTAAAAGGTTTTCAATTAATCTTTTTAACTAATTGCGATATCGGAATATAAATCATCAAAACATGCATTGCCATCCAAACTAAACGTGTATACAAAATTTCAGCTCAATCGGTTGCAGACATCAGCTTCAAAATTGAGTTGCAAGATTCTACCCGAAAAAATTACTTTAATTACAATCAACACTATTAAAATTCGATGGTAAACAAATGTATGCAATTATAAGACTAAGTGTATCTTCTCACGAACCGCACGACGCAAAACTCGCCGAAGGTACCAAAAGATCGGCCAAGATCTGAAGAATCTGTTATGACCATTTATATTCCAATATTGCAATTAGTTAAAAAGATATTAATTAAAAACCTTAAAACGCATAATTATTACCATTTTACCCGCCAGGCGGGGAAGTTCCAATTTTCCGACCTCTTTTTAAATCCCAAACATTTTTAAAACACGATCTAATTTTTTTTTATGAGACTGAGACAAAAAATAATTACAGAATCGGAAAGATTATTTACTTCGCCACGATATGGTATAATTTATTTTACAAAATAATTATATTTTCCATTTTTTACGATTTTCTTCTAAAATGATTCAAAATCGATAAGTTTTTATGAAAATGATTTCTAAATCATTCCGATTGCATTTTCTTTCACGTTAATGAAATGATATTCTACACTAATAAAATTCTTGCTTTTTTCTTTTAGAATCAATCATTTAAAAAAATAAAATGTCTAAAACGTTTTTTTTTACGATTTTTCAAAAGTAACTCAAAATTTTATTTAAATACTTAATAATTTCTTTAGTTATAAAAATAATCTCATGAGACATTTTTTTCCGTGTGTAGGACGATATTATCTGTAATCTGTACAGAGAGGGAAAAAATATTGCTTGAAAATTACGATTTAAAAAAAAATTGTGTTTTTCGTTTTTTCCCCTTTTTACCGAGAAATATTTAAGCATTATTTTTGTTACATTTTTTGTTTAAAAATTACCGTTGTTTCGAATGAATATATGAAATTTGAAGGCATTAACTTAAAAATGAAGCCCGAAAATGTTTTTAACTTTAACAAATAACGCAATGCAAAATTGAAAATGTCTTCCTTTCATTTTAACGGCCTTTTATTTCTTTTTTCCCGAAGATTTCGTGGATCAGTCGCTTAGAGCGCTGGATTCGTTACTTTTGTACCCGAGTTCGAAACAACATTATCGCTTAGTTTTTATGATTTTTTAAAAAAAATACTCAAATTTTATTTGTGCATTTAATAACTTAGCCGGCAATTTTGTAATTGGAAAGATAATTTATTTCTTCACGATACAGTATGTTCTTTTTTTTTTTACAGAACAACGATACTTTACATATTTTATGATTTTTTCTAAAATGAATCAATATCGATGCGTTTATAGGAAAATGATTTTTAAATAACTCATACTTTGATATTTTACAGTTAGTGATTTAAAAAATAAAATGTCGAAAACTTTTTTTTACGAATTTTTTTTGCAATAATTCATTACTTTTTGTGCCACTGGATGACTGCATGTGTCGAGCTGCTTAAGAATCATCGGTAAATGTTCACTTACTCGAGAGCTTTGATAGCGAGAGGGGAAGGGAAATTTTTCCATGACAATATGCTATGCATTTAAAAATGTTCGTGCAATGCCGGGGAGGAATAAAGCTGTCTGACAAAGAAAAAAAGTGAAAAAATTTCGAAACAGGGAATTTTAAGTTATACACTCGGTAAAAGCCCAAACAACACATGGCGAAGCGGAGGAGAGGGAGGGATGCAACGGTGGGTCATACAGCTACTCTTTTTTTAACTAATTGCGATATCGGAATATAACTTGTCAAAACATGCATTGTCATCCAAACTAAACGTGTAGGCAAAATTTCAGCTCAATCAGTTGAAGACATCAGCTTCAAAATTGAGTTGCAAGATTCCACCCGAACATTTTACATTGCAAGTTAAATAAAAGCTTGTAAAAATATAGCATACTTTGTACGTATGCTGAGTGGAAGTATTGTAAAATATCTCGTTGTACAAATCAAACAAATTTCAAAAATATTTTACACGAAAAAATAATAATTGGAGACGATGGGTATCGATCCCCGTACCTCTCGCATGCTAAGCGAACGCTCTACCATCTGAGCCACGCTCCCGGGCGACACCCGTGTTATTGTAAACATGCTTGGCTTAACACCTGAGCAAGATCGTTACAGTAACTAGGTCAATTAAAAGTGTTATGGGAGAAACTAGAATCGAGTAAATAGATATAGAAAGTTTCAAAGTAAATAGAAATAGGTTTATAGATCTGCTTTTCTTATTAATAATATAATGCAGTAAAAATATAACATGCTTTGTACGTATGCTGAGTGGAAATATTGTAAAATATCTCGTTGTATAAATCAAACGAATTTCAAAAATATTTTACATGAAAAAAAAATAATAATAATTGGAGGCGCGGGGTATCGATATCCGTACCTCTCGCCTGCTAAGTGAGCACTCTACTATCTGAGCTACGCCCCCGGTCCACACCTTTGTTATTGTAAACATGCTCGCCTTAACACCTGAACAAGATCGTTACAGTAACTAAGTCGATATCGGAATATAAATAGTCAAAACATGCATTGTCATCCAAACTAAACATGTATACAAAATTTCAGCTCAATCGGTTGAAGACATCCGCTTCAAAATTGAGTTGCAAGATTCCCCCGAACATTTTACATTACAAGTTAAATAAAAGCTTGTAAAAAATACAAAATAATTCGAAATCAAAAACATAATTACCTGTTGCTATATATATATATATTTCAAACGAGCTAAATCTAAGATTCAGTGGAGCCAATTTTTTTGAACTAGAGTCTGTTGATGGTAGAGATCACAAGAACTTGTTTTAACTTCAACTGTTGAGTAACTACTCAAGAGTAAAATAAAACATCTGTAGCTCGTTATCTTCAACAAACTTTTATTACCTCAGTCCCCTCTTTGGTTTGCTGACGCCGAATATTTTATGGGTGTCCGGAATGTCCGTAGTGACCCCAGTCCGAGAAGGGAAAAGTTACAGGAGTTGGTATTCAACATAAAAAAAGTAAACTGACATTTAACGTACACAGTAGAAAATAAGAAACATTAAATGAAATACCAGAATCACAATACTAAATACAAATAAATATATAACTGGAAATTACAAAAGAGAGAGAGAGTGAAATCAAATACACATTCAACAATAAGTTTTGTCGGCAAGCCAGTCAAATATTTAAATGTGCATGTAAATACGAGTTTGTTTGTTTTTTAAGAGATATTTATAAATTTAAAAGGCAAACAATAACTCTTTTTAGAAGACATGATTTTTAACTATATGTAACAGCAGGATTTTGAAGAACTGCAATTTACCGAAAGCTGCTCTAAGCGAAATATTCTGTGTTTTGTGCACATTTGTCACCCTTAACGTAGTAATTAATGTTTTTGATTTCCCGGTTTTTTCCCTTCCCGGGAAAACTTTAAAAAATCACTAATCAACAAGTTATTTTTAAATAATATCAATAATTATTATATAAAATACAGAAAATATATACCAATTTTTTTTTTTTTCAATTTTCGACTCGTAAATTTTCGGAATTATAAACGTTTGTATTTGTATTAAAAATTAAAAATATACGTCATGAAACAAAATTAATAAAATTGAAAACAGTTTAAAATAATAAATATTGTATCAAATGTATTTTCATCCATGCTCCCTGCAAAAGAAGTACAATTTTGTGAGGCAGACGGAAATTTTAAATTCTACCTTTGTGAACTTCAATGAAATCTCCCAAATGTTTTGATAAGTAATTTTCAAATGTAGTTAGTACCAAAATCTGTAAAAAGAAGTATTTCGAAGGAATAAATAATTATTCTGAAGAAAAAAATTATTACTAATTCGAATACAATAGAATTTATTTAGTTAATAATAAATAAATATATGTGTCACACTATCTTTATTTTGTAGATGCTGTTACCACCTTGATTTTTTTTTATTCTCAACTTTATTATATACATAGAGGAATCTTCCCCAAATTAAAAGTTATAATTTTTTTAATGAAATTGATCTCTTTTAGGACTAGAGGCAAGAATGGTTAACGGCATAGAAAAAATGTTAAAATGAAAAATCTCGAAAAAAAAAAAATTCACATCCAAAAAATTAATGTTTTTTTACTGACTCACATGAGTTTGAAATTTAATCAGTCGAAGATGAATCAGCTATTTCTCTAACGTTGCTACTAGAGATAAATATTAATATACTATATAAATACTTGAAAATTTATTTGCTGTTGAAGTAACAATTACGTACGTTAAAAATATTAATTATTATATTAAAGATATTTTACTTGCATAACCGATTTCTTGTTTATGGAGTTGCTGTATTAATGTTGCATAAATATAAATAAATATATATAATTAATGTAAAATCACACACGAAAGTTTGGTTAAGAAAAATAATGAATAAAAAAAGTTGCGAGATTGCTTAGAAATAATCTCCCAAAAACAGTTTGGTGGTTTTTATTCCATTCTTCAAATTACTAATTCAATTAAATAGCTCATATTAAAGACAAGTATCCGAAAAATTTTTTAAAGAAATTAAATAAATATTTTTAAGTATTAATACTTACCGTAAAATCCGGCGTATAAGGCGTGCTTTTAACACAAAAACAAGAACGAAATTTAAAGATGAGCGTTATACGCCGGATAAAAAAAAAAATGAGGATAAAAAAATTAGACTTCTACTTAGATCGGAATACTGTTTATTTAAAAAAAATGACATACTTAATGAAAATAAAGGGTTGTAGTTCTAGAAGTATACTATTTTTTCAAAAACCTAAGATAATATTTCGAATAAACGATTTCAAAACATAATGACATAGTATACGTACCTTTCAAGTTCCTTCGTAAAAAAGGGGGTGCGCGTTATACCGCGAATATTCCTAAAAATTAAAAAATGCAGCTTGAAAGTATAGGTGCGCGTTATACGCCGGATTTTACGGTACGTTATCCGCATAAACTGATTTGGCAAAAAATTGTGCAAGGTTTTACTCTTTCTCACGACAAGCTGAAAAAATTCTTGACTCTTCGTGGGTGTTACTTTTGTCTTACTACACGCTTACCCCACAACTGGGGGAATGAAAATTCCTCTGTCTAGGAAGTTTCGAGTGAACGATCGTAAATTGCCTCAGCAGGATCAGCAAAAATTTATAGCCGAGGTTGAAATCCCTAGTCCAGTAAAAAATAGCTACTTCAAGGATTATTTAAGCCCCGGGCCATTCCCGGGAATACAAAAAGGACAGAAATCTGACGATTTCCCGGAATCCCCTTTATATCAGTGCAGTGAAAATCTTGTCAAGATAAGCATGTCTACTTGTATCCCTATGTCGGGTGCCCAAGCACTTGCAAAGTCAAATCGCCGCGTAATACAATTTTTATTTATTTAAGAGTTACAAATTTTACTAGCAATGGTCGACTTTTTAATTTAGTCTAAAACAAAATAATTATGTTCCACGTTTCCAATGTCTAAATAATAATATTTTAGAAAATAATTTCATCCAAATTTTTTCGTAACAAAAAAAGTATTTTTCAAATTCGGTCCAAATGCCGCCCCTAAAATTTACCGCCCCGGACATGGGTCCGGTTTGTCCGGCCCTAGAGCCGCCCCTGTTATCTGGCAAAGTTACAGGAATTTCTACTATTCGATTTCAAATTCTGGTTCAACATCTCGAAATACACCAGAAAAACACTTTTTTCGCTCTATGATTATAAAGGAAAGTTTCTACTATGGTTCACGTAATAGACGGTCGTCCGGCAGTATCCGGCAAAGTCACGGGAATTTCTTGGATCGGATATCAAATTCGGTTTGCCCGTCTCGAGACCCTCCAGGGACCAAGTTTTCGCGTGCAGAAGGATTTTAAGATAAGCCCCTGCCACTGTGTGTCTAAAATATGGTCGTCCGGCATTATCCGGCAAAGTTCATAAATCATAAGAATCGATATAGCCGTTTCGAAGGAGTTTTGTTACAAACACTGTGACACGAACATTTTAAAAAGAGATTTATATATATATATATATATACACTACTGTTTATAAAAAATGCAACACCATGAAGGAATCATCAAAATTAAATAAACTTTGTTGCAGCAAATATCAATTATAGGATGTTACGTAAGATAGTAAAATTTCAGAGCCACCGTGGCGTGCGCAGCGCTCTCTGAACTGTTTCTGAAATCGTATAAATAGAGGCCTGTAGCGGGACGTTGAAGAAAGTTAATGATTATTTGTTAGTGGCGGACGTTTAGGGAGACCTAAGTGTGCCTCCATGACGAAATAAGGAGAAATTCCAACAACTTACGGAGTTTGAACGTTGGAAGATTATTGGCCTTTGAGAAGGAGGATTTTCCTATCGCGCAATCGAAGCTCGTATGCAGCGGAACAGTCCCACAGTGATGCGAGTTTGGAAGCAGTGGACTGACGAGTATCGAAAAACTGGCAATGGACGACTGAAAGTGACGTTAGAGCTCGACATTCGACACCTGCTCCGGATGGCGGTGAATGACTATACAGCTTCCTCCAGGCAGTTGGCAGCATGTTGGTCTACTGCTACAGGTGTACTAATGTCGGCTTCATCAATTCGTCGACGTCTGCAGCATCGTGGATTGCGTGCAAGGGTGCTTTTATTCAGGATCCCCCTCACGGCAAACCATCGGAGGCTGCGTCTGCAATTGTCTCATGAGCACAGAAAACGGCCATCATGGTCCCACCAATTGAAGCATGATTCATCTGAAAATACAACTTGCTGCCAACCAGCTTGCCAGGCTCTGTGCTCATGAGCCCATTGCGTGGGGGACCTCACCTACTGAGCATGTGGGATTTGGTTGGTCAGCTTCTCGCTCGTGATTCGCGTCCTGCAGCTTCAGAAGACGAACTTTTGCTGCGTATACAAGCAATATGGGTTCTCTTCCACAAGCAGGCATTCAAAATCTGTTTGACTCCATGCCACGTCGTATAGCAGCACTTATTGCAGTGCGTGGTGGCTACCCCAAATACTGATTTGGGACACTTAATACTGTTTCTATGCTTTGAAAATTTCGTCATTTATTTGTACTAATACAAGTGGTTTGTGCTTAAATTTCTTTTAATTCTGATAATTCCTTCATTGTGTTGCATTTTTTACAAACAGCAGTTTATATATCTTGTTCAAATTTTCGATGTAATAAAGTATACTTTCTTTTCATCTATTTAAAGTAGGGTGAGAGAGTGAGTGAATATTAACGTTGCACTGTTCAGCTACACGAGGGCTTTTGGCGATGGACCTCGTCATTTGGAACCATGGTTAAGTAACGAGGACGACACCTGAGTTAGCACCCCCCTCCTCACTACCACACCAACGGGAGCCAACCAACGTTTGAGCTCTCGACAGATTTAACGTACATCACTCCCCTACACGGCGAGTCTTTAGTGAAACAGGGCTCGAACTCATGACATGCCTGCCATGAGCGGAT